TGAGAGGAACAGCAGAGGGTCACAGCCAAGTACTTGGTGTCTCAAAGTGCATCAAGATGCAGTTGTGGCCTTCTGGAGCACTGGCCTCAGCTAGCAGTGTTCCAGCCTGTTTTGTTTTGTGAATTGCCGCTTAGCAGCCTTAAACCAGCTACTGCATCTCTTCTGAGAGCACCTGCTTAAGGCCAGTAAACTGTAAAACAGGTTCTCTTATCTATGGATAATGTCCCCAGCTGGGGTGGCTGGCTTCCTGCCAGCTGCCCTTGGAGGCTTTTTCATGCAGAAACTGCATGATATGAGTTTGTATTGAGGCATTTTGCCTCTTCCAAGCTTTGAGTCACATCCTCTGGTAGGGAGTAGAGCAATCTCTGAAGGCACTATTTAATCTTCTCTTGTTTGTTTTCTTAAGATGAAACAATATATATTTTTGACATCTTTGTCAGCAGCTGTCCACTAAGGAGCTTGTCAGCCTGCCCCAAACAGTGCAAACTCCTTTATCTTCCTAGTGCTTGTGATGAACAATGAATTATAAGTTGAGAAAAGAGCCTTGGCAGTGCAAAAGAAAAGGGCCTTGACAGGTTTTGAAGTGTGTGAAATAAAAAATAGATTAGACAAGCCTGTGCTTCCAGCTGCTTTTTGCATCCTTACCTCAACAAAATAATTACCACTTATTTAGGCAGAGTCGCTGAAGTGAGGGAGGCTTTTGCTGAGCTCAGTGCTCAGCATTTTGCTACCTGGAGCATGCCAAGATGCTTACCTGGATTTTGTGGTCAGAAGCTGAGGTAAAACACAGGGTGGAGTTGCAAGGAAGGTGTTGTCCTCCTAGGCAGGGAGAGAACAAGTGCTTTTCTGTTGGAGTAACTGTTCCTTCTTCCTTCCCAGGCACCAATGGCCTCATTAGCTGTGGTGTTGCTTGTTATCTCCACATGTGGCTGGGCTTTGCAGGCTGGTGCTGCTGGAGCTCTCTGCTGCTGCCTGAGCCCCGCGGAGCCCCTGCTGACAGTGCTCACCAGCATCTTCAAGGGGATGCTTTACACCTGGAGACCTCTCCTCCCAGCACACTGCTGCTGAACGCTGTGCTTAAATGTCTCACTGAGCTGTGGAGAGGCTGATCACCTGCTGGGGGTGGGGAAGGGGCTGTGGTACCATCTGTGCAGCTGCAGCTTCAGCTTCCTTCCTGCTACGTGACACAGGTCCCATCCCAGCCTGACAATCTGCAGCCTGCACAGAGAGGGAGGCTGGCAAACTGAAAATGGTGGAGAGGCTGGTGTCTGAGTCTTGATACTGAGTGCTGCTCTAAATACCTGAGATATAATACCTCCTTCTTCTAAATACCTCCTGAGGAGAGTGTTCAGTCCTGCTGTGTTACCTGACAGGAGATAGGCTCACTGCAGGGCAGGTGTCCCCTGATTTAGCCTCATAACTAAGCTGTCCCTCTGGCTATCTGTGAGGAGACCTAAATTTTAGCAGCTCATCCCTTTCATACCCTTTGAGAGTCCTGACATTCTCATTCAGTGCAAGGAAAGACTCATTTCAGTTGTGTCATCCTCTCTGGTTGGTGAACTCAGCTTTTATGAAAATTGCAGATTTGGGGCCTCTAGATCTGCTCCTTGAGCACGCACCTCATCTGTAGGGAGCCCAGGAGCACTTCCCTGCTTTGGGATGAGCTGGATGCACTGTGCTGCCCAGAGCCCCTCTCCTATCCATGGGATCAGGAGCTGGCAGGGAGTAGCTGGGTGTGCTGGGATTGTTTCTGCTGAGTTACAGCCCATCAAAGTTCATCCAAGAAGCAGTGGCAGGACTTCGTAATTTGCACTTTAACATATTTAAAGCTCCCCAGTTCTCCATGGGGAGCTTTCTGTGGCAAAGCAACCAAGTGCATATAGAGGAATAAACATGCACGTCACAGCTGCTCAGCTGAACCACTGTGTTTCCTGCTTTATCTCCAGATCCTGGAGCTGCCAACTGGCAGGTGGCATCGCCAGAGATTGGCACAGGATTCCCCTGCAAGGGGCTGAATGTCTCATCCCTGCCCTGCTGGGTAGCAGAGCTCAGACTGAAAGCACAGCTTTGAGCAGGGCTGAAACAGGCTGGGGCTGAGCCAGGGGCTCTGCAGGGAACAGCTGTGTCAGGGGCGCACTACACACTGAGGGTCTCACCTCATTTCAGGGGGTGCTGCTGTCATGGAAAAGCTGTGAAGATGCCTTGATGCAGAGCCCTAGGGGGACAGTGCTCAGAGCCAAAGAGCAAACATTCAGCAGCACTGCTCCCTCTCTGTAGAGATGCACTGGCTCACCAGGCAGCTCCAAGCCTTCATTTAAATGCTTTGTGCTCGAGTTTTCTTCTTGGCACAGAGCTGAGTGCTGCTCTGCTTAGACAGTAAGAGTTTAAGCAGATCTTGCTGACATTTGAAATACTTTTCATGTTTTCTGAAAGGTATTTTGGAAGGAAAAGAAAAAAAAATAATACCATCTCTTCCATAGCAGGGAAGGAAAGGAAGGGCTGAGCCTGGAGAGTGGTGGTAAATGGAGTTGCAGCCAGCTGGGGCTGTCACTGGTGGGGTTCCCCAGGGCTCAATAGTGGGGCCACTTCTGTTTAATGTCTTTATTGATTATCTGGATGAGGGGACCGAGGGCATCCTCAGCTGAATTCACAGATGACACCGAGTTGGGGGGAAGTGTTGATCTGCTGGGGGGTAGGAAGGTTCTGAGAAGGGTTTGGACAGGCTGCATTTGATGGTCCAAGGACAGTCGTTTGAGGTCCAGCAAGTGCCAAGTTCTGCACCTGGGTCACAACAATCCCAAACATGACTCCAGGCTTGGGGAAGAGCAGCTGGAAAGCTGCTGAGTGGAAAGGGCCAGTGGCATCCTGGCTTGTATATGCCATAGTGTGGCCAGCAGGACTGGGTTGTCAAGCATTGAACAGGATACACAGGGCAGTGGTTGAGTCACCATCCCTGGAATTATGTAAAAGAGGTGCAGCTGTGGCACTCAGGACGTGGTTTAGTGGTGGGCTTGGCAGTGCTGAGTTAATGTTTGGACTCAACGACCTCAAAGGTCTTTTCCAACTGAAACTATTTTATTATTCTTTAAGATACTACACTGAGAAGGGAAAAATTAGTTGTGAGAAGAGAGCAGGTGGTGACCTTTGCGCAGGTTAATGTGAAGGTTATGAGGTCCTGCACCTGTGACTGGAGTGCAGCTAGGACTGGGTCCAGCATTTGCAGTGTCAGATTGTAATGCTCAGCACAGTGTCTAATCCCACCTCTCTTCCTCAGGGAACTGGTTTTATTTGGAGCTTTTGGTGGTTGATCAGAGACACCAATGTGTCCTCCACACTCTTGGTCCAAAGGGAATAGATCACTTGAAAAACATCAACAATTTACTTCCTGCAATTTCTTGTAAAATTAGTAAAGAGCATGAAAGGTGTATCTATTCCATGTTTTCTTATAGGAGTGTTGCTATCTGAAACTCACAGAGACAATCAGTAGAGGAAGGCAAAGTTACCATGGTTAATTTAGAAGGGTAAGGATTTTTACAGGGTTTTTCAAATATGTCTCATTTTTTAAACTTTTAACTCTTTCAAAAACTCATCCAAGTCTGAATTCCTGTGGGGGCAGCTAATTGAGAGGACTTGACTTATCAGCTAAATCTCATCAGTTTACTTCTACCAGCCCCTTGCAACATGAAGGGTGGCAGCCTACCACAGATGAACACCCACGCTTCTCTTTCCTTAAAGGAATGAACCACACTGCCCAATGTGAATGGTACCTGATCCTGTCCCTCAGGCACTGCATGGGGGCTCTGCTCCATATTCCAACACCTCTGAACAACCCAGATACTCAGACTCTAAAGTGCTTCACGCTCATGTCCAAGAGAACTCTTTATTATGTTTACATAGAGCATGAGCAATGTGGAAAACACTGGAGATTCTGCATCAGTGGCTTGGTTTCTGGACAGCATTGGAAATGGTGATGCTGCTGCTCACGTCGTGGCTGTATTAGGAGGTGTGCAGTGTGCCAAGAGGAGCCAAAGCTTTGCACTTCCAACTGGGAAGCACCCACCTCTGGCACATTCACTGCTTGCTCCTCTAATGCCACAGTTAGGTGCTCAGCTGTCAGCTTTTTCTCAATTTCACTTGGAACTTGCAATTGTAGTACCTTGGAACTTGTAATTTTAGTACAAAAGCACAGTTTTTGAAACCAATCCTACTAATCCACAAGACCGTTCCCACTCCCTCTCCTCCCCCCTCCTCCCAATCCCATCCCAACTCATCCCATCCCCCATGCTCCCACCAACACATGCCTCCTTCCCCTCCCTCTCACCCCGGTCACACAGCAAATATCCTGATGCTGCAGTTCCAAGCCATGTGTCCGCCCCAGCCTATGTGATCCAATGGTCTCTGACCAGGTCTCTTTGTTCAGACGTTCATACAAAACACACAATAGGAAAAAAAACAAAACAAAAGGAGCCAGACACAAGAGGGAGACACACTGCCGGGCTCCAGCTCTGGCCTCTGAGCCCTTCCACTAAGCTCCACAGCACTAGGCTCTTGGGGTACCTCCTTTCACACTCAAGGCTGCAGGTCCCAAGGTTTCCAAGGTGCATAGGAAAAGGAAGAAAGGAAGTAAACTACAAGCCTGTTTCTGTTTTAGGTTCCCCCCAACCCCTTTCCCTCAACCCAATGGCTGCTGGAGGATATTCTTGACTCCGACAGGTCTTTTCCCGTCTTCCAGTGAGACCCTGCCTGGGGACCAGGTTCACTGTAAGTCACCGGTTCCTCTCTGGAACGTGGGCAATGGGTTTGGCAGCGAGGGGAGGGAGCGGAACACGTTGTGGGGGGATGACAGGCTTTTGTCTCACAGCAGGTGGGGGGGAAGATGTCAGGGAAGGCGAGAGAAAAGAGCCACGGGAAGCCGGTCAAGCTGGCCCTCTTCTTGATGTTTGTACTCAAAACTTCTCCTTGGGGTTGCTTCAGCGTGCCAGCGCCGGCCCGTTGTTCAGTCACCTCTCGCAGCCCTGCTGAGAAAAAGCACGTGGCGGGGTGCTTCCGGCTGCTTCATCCTCTGGCTGGCTGCCCTCGTGCCCGCCGGCGATCTCAGAGTCGCAGTCAAGCGCCTCATAGATGGTCGGCAGCGTGGTCTGCTGGCTGAGGCGCTTGCGCAGGCCCACGAGCAGCGGCTGCGGCATGGAGGAGACGTCCACGTTGTTGCCGAGGTCAACCCAGGCCAGGCAAGGGAACTTGTTCATGTCCTTCATGGTGTCAGTCAGCTCCTTCATGGTGGCCCGCGTCAGCCGGTTGCCGTTGAGGGACAGGTGGGTGAGCTTGGGGAGCGCCCAGAGGAAGGGCAGCAGCAGGCGCACCATGTCGTCGTTGAGCTCCGTGAAGCTCAGGTCCACCGAGGTCAGGTGGTCCCCGTTGTTCTGCAGGTAGTAGGCCATGCGATGGACATCCCGCATGGTCAGGGGGATCCCTGACAAATCCATGGAATCCTGGCTCACCTTCTTCTGTAGGCTGGTCTTCAGGCTGATGGTGGAGAAGGGGAGACACGGAGAGAGATCATGAAGGTTTAAGCATCATTAAGGGGAGCACTCCCATCCATCTCACCCACGTGAGAGAGCGTTTGGGACAGGGAGAGCTCATTAACAACATGGGCTAGAATGTTAAGGAAAGGGTTAATAGAGCTCACAAATGCTTGTTTCAAGCATTTGCACCATACCTCAGGGCAGACTGTTCTGGGGCTTTGCTGTGTATTTTTAGCACTTACACATAAACTTTGCCAGGACTGGCTCAACACAGGTTGCTAAAGTGTCTCCCACTAGCAGATGCCAAAGGGTTTGTCTGTATGTGCCCATACAGGCGCTCATGCATAGAAAGCAAAAATAACCAAGGCAAGCAAACTTTCCAAAAGCACTGGTTTACTCTGTGTGGGGGCTGTTTGTGAGCAGCCTCTCCAGGTGAATGCCAAGGTCTTTGCTACAGAGGAGAGCCGTGTTAAAGGTCTGAGAAATTGATGTTTCATCAGGAAAACAAGAGATAGGCAAACTGCATTCCAGGAATGGATTTATTGCGTGTCCCTTTAAAAGCCTTCACAAGCAGCACTTAGTCAGTGGCTGCCAGTGGCTCACCAGTGGCTGCCTATTTGGGTCTTTGTGGTCAGCAGATCATCTGGGATCTGCTGCAGCTATGAGGAGGCAGGGAGGGCATAAGGGTGCTAAGAGAGGGCTTTAGCCATTTCTTTTATTGTCTGCCTGGCAAAGGGAGTGAGGAGGAGGTAGGAAAGCTGTGTTGTGAGGCTGCTGGGAATGCAGAGGGAGTGGGATGTGGAGCTTAATGATGGACTCTGGGTTTGTAAGAGTGCTGTGAGAAGTGGGAACTGTGGGGCTACAGGAGCTGCTGGGAGATGCACTGCAAAATTGAATAGAAACGTGTATTGGTGTAACACAGGAGAATCTAATCCCTTCGTGTAAATTCTGTTAATCTTGCTGCTCTTTCAGACACATCTTGCCTTAAGGACATGGGAGCCCTAGTAGGACCCCCCCCCCCCCCCCCCTNGTAGGCCCCCCCCCCCCCATCATGTACTCAGGGGGTCTTGTAAGTGCCTTACTGAGTTTGGGAGGATCAGGGTGGGTTAAGCATTAACCACCACTTCGAAGGTCCCCACTCTTCCTATCTGGCTCTCTGTAGTGTCCTGCACACCTGTGGCACAGCCAGTCCCTGAAAGCAATGGGTACATGGGGACATGCAATTTCCTTGGAGGAGGCAACAGCACCGCAGGAGCTCCCGTGGCAGGTGAGAATGTCCCTACAAGCTTCAGTATTGCCAGGCTCTGCTGGAGCTGTGCAGAGCATGTGGCACTGCCTCTGCAGCTTTGCTTTACATATGCAGCTCATGGCATTCTAGAAATTTGAGCCCTTAATAATCCCCTATAAGCATGTGTTGACATAAGTCAGTAAATGTGCACCAGTGCAGGCCACAGCCCTTTGTGGACACATTCAACACTGGCACAAAACTGCAGCTGCACTTCCTTGTAGGAGCATGAGGCAGAAAGACCTCGTGTCCTGCCCTGTCTATTCTTAAGCCCACAAATTCCTGCCCTGGGTTTAGCAGTACTTTGCTCAGTCTACTTCCATGTGTCCTTGTATTTCCCATGGGAATTCACTGTGCAAGGCTGATATCTGCAAGCATGCATTTGGAATAATGAGCTGTCACAGCAGAGAGCTAATAACAGCATGAATTAACTTCTATTCAGACCTGAAGTATTGTAAGTAAAATGTATTACTTATTAAATATTTACACATCAGATGACCCACACCACACCTCAGTGGATCACAGGAGGGGCAAGGGGACCAGTGCTTTCTATCCTGTCAAACAGCAGGGACTGATGTGCTGGGGAATTACAATTGGTCTGAGCACACAAGGGAGATCTCCAAAGGGCCTTGAAGATGGTACTTGATATCCCTCCACTATCTGGGCCCCAGAGATGGGACTGTGAAGAATTAATCCACCACATAGCTGGTAGCAGCAGTGCAGTTCCCTTACCTGTTGCAGCAGCAGGTGTGAACTGTGCATGCTGTGGTCTGGGTGGCACTGAGCAAGTCTCCCTTTTCCTGCTAATCCAAGACATGCTTGAGATCAGCACAGGCTTCTGGGAGCTGTATTTCTTCAACTCTCTTGAAAAACAATGTGTGTGTTTTGGTATAGTTTGTCATCAATCACTGGCAGTGGTGTAGCACAGTCTATCACAAAAGAGGGTTCATCTTGGATGAAATTTATCAGGGACCATCCTCGAAGCTGGAAACATCTCAGGTTTCCCCTAGCACAACAGGAGTTATCCTTTTAGTCATGCTAGGTATTTTATCTGGGTGTTTGATCTGGAGTACTTGTTCTAGCAGAACAGAGCATCCAATGCACAGTGCAGGTGTGCATTCATGTGGATCAAGTGAAACAGAGAGAAATGAAATGGAGTGTGAACCTGAGTGCACAGGGTAACTGTCCCCTGTATCCACAAGGGGCTGGTACAAGAGATACAGCAGCCTTCTCTGGCCTCTAGGGGTTTAGAATAAGGCTTTCTTGGGAGTGTGGGGAATACAGGATAAACAAACATAGAAACAAGCCTGTTCTGCATGAACACAGCCTGTGGCTCCTGTCCTCCCCAGTGCTGTCAAGCCACGGCAGATCCTGGGTGGGTGGGGGACACAGAAACGAGACACAAGCATAGGGGCACATTCCCCAGCCCTAAGCCTTGTCTCTGTCTGTGCAAAGCCCCCTCAGACCTTCCTTTTTACAAAGCTCCAGGGCAGGAGGCTAGTTTGGAGTGGGGATGGGAGCCAGGCTGGAGTGGGGACCACTGGAGGGCACGTCTGAGCCGGCACGGCTCGGCTGCCCTCAGCACCAGGTGCCGTTTTCCCTGTCGCGTCTGCAGCAGCAGCTTTCTTAAAAGGGGACAAGTTTGAAAGGCTCTTGGGGTCCCCTCTGGAGCGACTTGGCTCTGAGTGCAGACAGTGATGACTGAAGGGAAATGTCTGAAAGACAAAAGCAATGTGCTCGTCTGTCTGTGCCCGTTGAGCCTCCCCTCCCCTCCTGTGACCGCCGTGTGGAGATTCAGTAATAAGTCACAGATCGTGCTCTCACCACAACAGGTACTGTGCTGCTCTCCCCAGCACCGAGCCAACACCCCAAGGAGGCTTTAATCAAGCACACAAATTATCTTCCCATAATTGATTCTCCAGACTGGACTGCTCCTGGCTGAATGTGTTTAAACCGTCCTGTCCTGTGCCAGAGCCCGCCCTCCCTTCTTTGCTGGCTTGTTTTTCTTTCCTTTCCTGTGTTTTTTGCCGCTTCCTTTTGCCCTCATTGCTGTACCTGCCAGGGTGACTCTGGGCCTCCTGTCTCAGGACTGGGGGCTCCCTCCTGTGTTTAAGCTGCTCTCTTGCCTATAAAAATGCCTCTTGTAGGGATGTGTTTGTAGGAGCCTCATCCTGGTGAACACAGCCCTATGCTGCAGCCAGGCCCTCAGCTCTCTGGTAAGTGCTGAAGCATGAGATGCAACACCCCACGCATGCTGTGAACCCTGGCAGCATCCCCCTCGCCTCCCTGGTGTTTCTGTGCAGCTCCAAGAGGCACAACTAAACCCCATCCCTCAGGCAAGGCATGGAATAGCTACCCACTCTCTCTATTGCTTTAGGGGAAAATGGGTCTGCAGTCAGAAATGGGTCAAGGAGATGTGGGTAGATGCTTTACTCTGAATTATTTGGCACTTGATATTTTTTGGAGGTCTGTTAAGCTCTGTTTCTTGGGGGGAGAGGGGCATGATACACAGGGCACCAAGATCTCAGTCACTTGTGCAGCAGCTGAGAAAATACTAGGTTTATTTCCAGGGAAATGGGTCATGTATTATCCCCTGATTTCTGCATTTGAAACAGGCTTTAAGATTGCTTCAGCTGCAGAAGGCTTTTTTTCTTTTGTGTGAGATACAACAGCTACTTAGCAACGTGGCTCTTGATGCCCGTGGGACTTGTGGACAGAGGCTGCAGAGCACTGGGGGCTCTGGATTAACCTGCTGCTTCTACAACTGGTGCTCAGGGCACATTTGTAATTGTGAGGATTTGCATCTAACAAGGATCTGGACCCTGGATGCAAGGCAGCAGACTGTGTTTGTATTATCTGCAGCAAGCCTGGAGAGGAAACAGCCCCCCACTCCCTCAAATGCTGGAGAAATGGCTTTCAAGTGAGAAATTCTTGGAAACTTTGAGCGAAAAAACAAGGACAATCGACAGCCCAGCCCCTACTGCCTGCCTGGGGATGCAGCATCCAGTGAGGAATGCAGCATCCAGTGAGGAATGCAGCATCCAGTGAGGAATGCAGCATCCAGTGAGGAATGCAGCATCCAGTGAGGAATGCTGCTTGCCCAGACTCCTGTTCATAAAGGATCAGCACCCTGCTTGCAACCCTTGTCCACCCCTGCTGAGGGATGGGAGCTCTTTGAGGTACATCTCCTTGCTTCTCATGTGAAAGGTTTTAATTTGCATTGTTCCCATCTCCCTTCTTGGGGTGTGGCCTTTCTCCCAAGGACAAGGAGGCAGTCTTCCTCCCACCCTCACTGCCACTTACCCCTTCCCAACTCTACTCTTCAGCAGGCATTACCAGCAGTCCCTAGGCTGCACTTTGAGCCTGGCTATAGGAGATCCATTCTGGATCAGTCCAGACAGAGCAGGGGCCTGAGAGACCTGTGGGTGTGTGGAAAAAAAATCCTCTCAGTGAGAAATGTGGGCTGTGAAAGAGGTGAAACCATTTTGTGCCTCCCAAAGCTTTATTTTGGGATAAAAATCTTCCTCTTTCCACTAACACCCTGCCAGTGTTCCAGTCTCCTGGGAACTCAGCTAGCACAAGTAAATACAGAGCTGTCTTGAAATGGGACAATTAGGAGATCTGAAATTAATTGCTAGCTGTTTGTCTCTAGGACCTGTCCCAAGAGAATTAACCCTCAGGCCATCTTCCAGTTCCTTCTTCAAGTCCATGAAGCT